GGCAGTGCGGTTGGCGCAGGATAGAGCAGGGTTTAGAGCTGTTGTGCATAGGGTCGCTATGAGTCGGAAACGACTCGATGGCACATAACAACAACAACCATCTCCCATTTCTTGGCAATCCCCTCATCTTTTGTCTTAGAATAAAGGTTATGAGAGGAAATATTAAGATATGAATTGTTTCTATAAAGTATAATTTCTGTCAAAATGTACAACACAGCAAGACTTGAGATGTTTCACTATTACTTTGATGCCAAATTACACAAACACACACAAAAAATTTTAAGAGACAGACTCATCTACTTATGCTTATTACTACATCAAAACACCAGGAGTTATCAAGCATTTATTCATGTGTTTATTGGCCATCCAAATGTGTTCCTTTGTGAAATTGTCTTTTGCCCATTTTGTAATTGGTTTATCAGTCTTTTTCTTCTGGAGATCTAGAAATATTCTGTAAACTTTTGTTTTAATTGTTAGAATACTTATTTTTTTTTCTTTTTAAAAATTTATTTTGTACTGGTTTACTTATACATTTCTTATACATTGTTTTTCATACTAGATCTTTCCCATTTCTTTAACTCACCCCTTCCTCAACCCATCAAATTGCACAGCCTCCCACCCATCCTCACCCTTCTTCTACTCTGTCTGCCTTATATTCTCATACACATTTTACTAATTACCTGTCTCTACAATACAGGTTTTATGCCATATATTTCCTTATGAGACTGAGTTAGTTCACTTAGGGTAATGCTCTCCAGTCCCTCCCAAGTTAGGTAATAATTTACATAATCATTGTTCCTGTATGTTGTGTAGTATTCCATTGTATGAATGTGTCATAATTTTTCAATCCATTTGATTGTTGTGGGCTGTTTTTATGTTCTTATGATAGTGAATAATGCTGCTATGAACATTGGTGTACAAGTCTCCATTTGTGCCTCAGTTCTCATTTTCTTAGTGTATAATCCAAGCAGTGGAATAGCTTAGTCATATGGAATTTCTTTGTTTAGCTTTCTGAGGATATGCCAAACTGCCTTCCAGAGTGATTGTACCATTATACAATCCCACCAAAAGTGTATAAAAGTTCCTATCCTGCTACTT